GGGGTATGCTTCGGAGGGTTTGAACACTATAGTACTATATACTTTGCCAGCCACCACATGAACATACATGACCCACCCAAACACAAGCCAGCAAAGCGCTGACCAGAGAACTTGCCAGGGACAGAGTCTACAAGCAGCAGAGCTTATATGCACTCTTGAGCACGATGCAATGATTTCCAGCAAGTGCGTTAGCCCTTAACAGCTACTGCAATATACCTTGGACACACACACACACACCCTCATCGCCAGCAACGACCAAAGGTAAGTAAAGGTTTCACTATGGCCGGTAGGGAGGGCAAGGGGTGTTTTGGTTCCAAACCCCGTCCTGTTCCAGCCACAGCACTCAACTCCCTTTTCATTCTGTGGAGCTAGAGCTGTCAGTCTCATCTGAGCTGGTCGAATCCTCTTTGAGGTTGACAGCAAACACCCTCTTTTGCCTTAGGTATTTGCTTCTGGCGTGGGCTGCTCTTTTTTCTCGCTTCCTCAATTCCACCAAGCGGGAGTCTCTCCGACTCACAGGGCCAATGTCCGCAAACGTTCTCTGCTTGTGCAAGCGTCGCTGGAGCAAGGCGACATTCAAGGGATTTTTTTCTGGCTGCTGTGCACGGAAAGACCTCCGCCACTCATCGGTGCATTTCTGTATGGTGCACTCTGCTCTTCCCACAGTGACCCCAGCTTTACCGGCGCTCTCCCTGTCTGAGAATACATAATTGACAACTCTGACATGCCCTGCTCTGGCCCTCTCTAACAGGAGGCAGTATGTATACTCAATCTGCAATTCGAGGCCAGCGGTGTCAAATTTCTTGCAAAATGTCTTGGACTCGGGCTCAAAAACTTTAATGTAGTAGGCTGGTCCTTTCGGTGGGGGATCCAAAGACATAGTAGCTGCTGCCCCAGTTTCCAAAGCTAGCTTCATGCTAGACAGTGAATCAATGGTAGAGGTCCTAGCAAAGTCCGAAACCCACTTCCTTTGCAATCCAAAGGCCCCATCACATCGGCCCTTGCCATGGTGTTCGGCGAAGAAATGGAGCTGCACCCTGGGAAAAACATCGCGGCACTGCTCCACCAAGTTCCACAGGAACTCATAGCTCCGAAAATGCGGGCCGCAGTCTGCCCAGCAATGGAATTCTTTGACTCCATCTGTTGGCAAGGAGCGCAGTAGGTCGTTCCTGAGGGCGCAACCGACAGAAGCACGGCCGGCAACAACAACAAACAACCTGGACACTACTAACCTCGACAAAAAACTTTGGCGCTGCTACCTAGGAGCAAGCATTGGCACGCGTAGGCGGAGTCATGGTTCAGGATTTGTGACACATAGTGATAGTTCTCTTTGCAAAGGGCTCGTCCTTTCCAGCGACACACATAGAAGCCAAGCGTTGTCATTGTCTCTCTTGAAGTAGCCCAGAACCAGTCCTGAGCTTCTTCTGGGCCTAGCGGCCATGACATATTTTCCATGAAGTCTAACTGCACCAAAATGCTGTCCTTGCTCAGTTGGTCTTCTAGAAACTCCCGGCGCTGATGCTGCCGATGGACGGTTTGAAAGTGGTGGCTGCAACTCTCAAGAACGTCCAAGTAGTTTGCCATCATGTGGCTGGCCTTGGCTTCCGCCTCCTTCAGCCGCTGTCTGAACGCCACTGTCCCCAAGGGAGTTGCCTTTTGACTCCGCTCATCTGAGGTTTTGTCAAGGAAGAGCTTGAAAAACTTCACGTGCTGCAGGGACAAGCAATCATCAGGGTCTGTGCGGTTCTGCGCCTTCATGCTTTCCCAATGCTTGTCGAACGATTCGAAGTACTTGGCATCCACACTTTCCACTTCACCCCGGGCAGACGCAAGGTCTTTCCGCAAGGCTGGCAGCAAGACTTTGTCATACTTGTGGCAAAAGGTGCAAACATCTGTGCGGCACTTCAGGCGCACAAAGTTTGCATGGTGCGCCCGTAAATGCTTATACCACACTGGTCTGCTTAAAAGCGACTGCATGGCAGGACTTCGTGCCCAAAGCCTCCCACGGGAGGATTTCAAATTGTAGACTGGGAGCACTGCCCCTTGGCATTTCATCAATTTGCCAGTCACTGTGGCATTTTGCAGCAGGAAGCTATTGACCTTCTCTTGGATTGTAGGTGAATGAACCTTGCTCTTCCGTCCTTTCTGCTGCTTGACAATATGCTTCCTGACCTTGCCCCAGAGCTTTTTGCGGCATGGAGCAGACAACAATCGCTGGGCTTTTCTGCGACCACCAATGGATGACTGAGCAGCGCCGCAAACCATCACCTCCAGGTCTTGATGACCTTGGCTGCGGGCAGCAACCTCCTGTGCAAAATGTGACATAGCCTTATCGTCCACATGGCTTCTCAAACTGCCCAGCTCTTCTTTCGTAACACTTCGCTGGATGCACCGCACAACAGCATCAGAACCGAGCTTTGAGCGAATCTCCCTCAAGACCTGCGCCAGTCGGTTCCTACAATGTTTCTCTGCAGCTTTTTCATCGCCATCGCTCTTTTTGGGAGGCATTGAGCTACCGCTACCAACACAAGCGACTTTGAAACTAAGGATTGGGAGGTGGTGGGAAATGCTGGTTTTCTGGTGTGATTCGGGTATGATTCGGGTATGATTCGGGTATGACTCGAACCACCACTGTTTTTCCTGGAATCTGCTGTCGACAAACAATATACTATACCGTTTCACGTTTCTTTTGGGCAAAAACCTTGCACAACATGGTGACTGGCATTTACAGTTACAGATAGACCGATTATCCTACTCCGCCTGTTGAACCGAAGAAGAAGCCGACCACTCCGACGACGGAAAGAAATCGAACGATGCGAAGAAGAAGAAGAAGAAGAAGGTCTGCCAGCGCAAGTTCCACCCGATGCAAGAAGCACACACAATCCCTGTAGTGATCCCCAATAGATAGAAAGGGTTTCCAATACATGTTGTGTGGGGATATACTTTTCTATCTATTTGGGGGTCTCTATATGCAAAAGCAGCTTCAGGATATTGTCTCTTTTCTCTTTCGGACAAACAGTGCTCACCACGTTGCTTCACAAACTGTGCTCACACAGTTCGTCAGAAAAAACCGTCCAGCGCCCCAAACCGGACAGCTTGTACAGCCATGGTTTGCATGGCACAGCTGCTGTTCGTGTGTTCCAGCTACAAATCCTTCTTTCTCAGAGCAGTGGACTCAACCTTCACATGCTCAAGCTGGAGTTTTGAAAACTTGTTCAAGGCAACAACACCTGAAAAGTACTTTCTGGCAAAGCTTTGTATGCGGATGTGACACCAATGGCACTTACTGCCGTGGTGCTTCTTCTTGCTACCGTCTGGTCGCTTGACCAAACCACACACTTGGCAGTCCTCACACTTGCTGTAGGTCAAACCTAATGGGTTTCCAGGCTCACCATCAGCACCATTGCCCTTATCGAGCTTCTTCTTCTTTTTCGGAGAGCCCCAAATGCGCTTCTCCAAGCTCATTGGGGGTGAATCCTGGATGGAGGGCATGGGCACGCAGGTTTGTCGTGGATATGCGCACAGCTAAACCTAGTTTCCTTTACATGGTGGTGAATGTGGTTTCTAAATTATATAACAGTTTGGCGCAAGTCCAACATAATACCCATATGTGACCCAAGGTGAAAAAGCTTGCCTTCGGTTTCTCTTCTGAACTGGCTGCACGCTTCTTTGGTGTTTCCGCATCCATGGGAGTGCTTTGTGTATCCTTTCGTGCTGGAGTTGCAACGCATGGGGAAGCTGGCCCGTCAACCTGCTCCTGGCAAGCGCAAGGTCAAGCGCACTGGGAAATGCACTGTAGAACACTGAAAAACCTTTCTTGTCTTTGTCTTAAACAAAGCTTTGCCCAAACAGCTCCTGTACTGTTGCTGCTGAAGCATCAGCCACAGGTGGTGAAGGTGCAGAAGTGGAACCGTCTGGGAAAGAGTCTTTGTCAAAAGACGTAGGACCTGGAGAAAGAGCTTTGCCGCCAGCATCTTCCGACTGTTCTTCCTCCAAGGATTGGCTGCCAACCAAAAACCAGCAACTTACCTACCAACACATTGAAGAAGCAAACATTTTGCCGATGGTCCTCCTTCAAGGGAACCTCTTCCACTGGAGCCTGGGTAGTCTCAAGAGTGGGCTCAACCTCAAGAGGTGGAGGCACAGCTTTGCTTTCAGGAGAAGTCTCGCTTGTCCCCTCATGCGCTGTCAACATCGTGCTGCTTGCTTGTTCGAAAAGAGCCCCCAAAGTTGAAGTCTGCCCCTCAGACTTGTCCTAGGCATGAAGGCAGCTTCAAGCAGTTTGGGCTTACGCTCCCCTTCAGAAAACCTGAATACAAATTCTTGTTTTTCAAACACATTCAGCTTAGGGCCTCAGGATTGGGCACCGAAGCATATGCTGGAGTTTGGGTGGGGACTACTTGACTGCCTCACGCCCTGTCCTTGGACTTCCTTTTCTTACACATGGCCTTCAAGGAGTCGAGAGTTTCATCTGGGTGCTCCAAACAAAGCTGCAGCAAAGCCTTGGCTTCGCCCTCATTCTGCCTGCTAGCCACACGACGACTTTGTGTCTTCACAGACACCACCCATGTGCTTTGCGGGCCGGTACTAGTGAGCCGCGTTTCCTCCCAAAGGAAAGCCATTTTGAACCAGCAGCTATCACGCTGATGAAAGTAGTTCCAGCACAAAAGTCAACAAAATTCTTCCCGCGGTCTCAAATTAGACGGCAGAGGGTGGTCTGCATGGAATATTCCCACAGTGATCTTGGCCATCTGCTCTAAAACTGTTACACTCTGCTGGTGGAACATCTCACCAAGTGCATGCCCACTGCTCTACTTCCCTTCTTGATCAATGCCCGATAAAGCACCAATTTTGGAGGGTATGCTTCGGGGTATGCTTCGGGGGTATGCTTCGGGGGTATGCTTCGGGGTATGC